TAGGTAACTGTCACGCCTACAAGGTGGGGCCGAGAGAGGACCCTGAAGACCCAAGATCCAGATGCGCTGGCTCTCTTGGTTCCTGGACCCTGGACGCTGGAGGTAGACTGAGCAGAGTTCTCCAGAGAACACCCCTGGACTGTGCTACACCTTCCCCAGACCTTGTTACCTATTCCTTCACTTGTAAGTTACCCCACAAAATAAACCTCCCTTTTAACTATATGGGGTGGCATTAATAATTTCACCAATACTAAATGAAAATTAACTTTTTCTGTCTCAGCAGTTATCAGTGATCGAATGTCATCTCAGCTAGAGGTGGGACTGGCACCCACCTCTCCCACTTCAAGGTGGTATTTTGGCTGACTTGAGCTTTGCACAAGTCTTGTGAGCTCTGTCACAACCACTGTGACTTCCGATGTGCAACTGACTATTGTGTCCGGCAAACACGGCATTACACTACTGTTACACTAAAAAAAAATTAATTCTAGGTTGTAAATTTTCTCAAACAGTTTAATTTTGAGTGTGTGATGTTTTTATTCTTTTTAATTCCATAGGAAATCTACACTTTGCTGTAACACCTTGATATTGTATGTCTTCACCAAAACCTCAGGGGCATTCATATTATGAGCTATAATTATATAATTTCTCATCTTGAGTATATGATTTCACCATTACAGATTAGGGTATTTATTATTATTATTATTATTATTATTATTATTATTATTATTGGTTTTTCAAGGCAGGATTTCTCTGTGTAACAGCTCTGGCTGTCCTGGAACTTGCTCTGTAGACCTCAAACTCAGATCCACCTGCCTCTAACTCCCAAGTACTGGGATTAAAGTCATGCACCACCACTGCCTGGCTATAAATTTATTTTTAAAGGGAAATTGATCTTGTGATTAAAAAAAAACATAAGATGCAGTATATATCTTGAGGTCTCATTACTAATATTTCATACTGGAGCATGTTTTGTAATCATGTTGTCATCACTTGGGGTGAATGAAACTCAGTTTTGAAAGGAAGCAGTTTGTCACATGCTTGAGCTTTTCTTGCAAATGAAGAAATAGGAATGCAAACTTAACTGATAAATGCTAGACTGCATATCCACTAAGTGATGGAAGCTAAATATTATATAACCCACTCTCCAGTTCCCTCTAGTTCCTTGTCACTGCTATCCTAAATAGAGTCACGTTGTTATTTGTTATCATGTACCACATGCAAGATAAGTTACTTATTCTCAAGAGACATTAACTCACAAGTCTAGTCTTCAGTTAATCCCATGGTTAAAAATACACCCCTAAAGTCAGATTGCTTGAATTTGCCTCTCAGTTCTGCTAAGCTTGGGCAAGTTGGCTTCTCTCACTCTCAATTATAAAAGGAGATTAAAATATTTTACTTTGCAGAACTTTTTTCCAGATTAAACTAGAATGTACTTGCAAGGTTCCTATCATATATACCCAGCATATATCAGCTACTCTTATCCTTGTATCAAAATTTTCATGGGATGGTTTTATCATATGTATTCTATTAATGTCTGAGGTGATGTCATATTATTCTTCTGTTATTTTCCCCAGTGATTTTATTTCCCTTGTGTTGTTTGATACGAGATGGTACCAGACATTACAGAGGTTATATAATATTTAAACCATAAATCATTATTTCATCTCTATGTTTTATTGGCAGGCATAGCTAAGTTTTATTAAAATACTATTTAAGCCAAGAATTCCTCATGAAATATTAGACTCGCTAATTTTCCCCCTATGTGGTTGGACAAGGGCCTAGATGCTTTGTGTTCCTGATATAATATCTTACATTCTAGAAGCTCGTTCAAGTGGGAATGAAGAAAGGATGCTCCCATTATCACCCCAAATCATTACCTTTCCACCATTTCCTCTTTTTTGGTCGAGGACACAGACTTGCAATGTTTGGGTTAAATGTTTGGCACTTTCGGGTGTCTGGGGCTGAAGGCTGCTGGGAGAAATGAAGAATGCATGTATAAAGTGTATGGGTGAGAACCCCAACATGGCAGGTGAGTGCAGCTCTAGATGTGTGTTACTGCTTGCTTGAATGGTTGTGGGAAATGTCTCATGGAAGCAGTGTGGCATAAAGCTATTTCTATAAGAAAGTAAAACTTGGGCTAAAAAACCAGGTTCAGTATCTACCCTAAAAATCCCCTTAGAGTAGATTTTTGTTTTGTTTTCTTGTTTTCAAAGAAAAACACACCCTTCTTTGGACTTTTCCTCCAGCCATGGCAGAGGTAGGCTGGGAGACACTGGAACAAAAAGTTTTGTCAGTCAGCATATTTGACCATGTGATAGGCAGAACAGGAAAGATTTTCCCTTCTAAACACCTCTCCCCATAAAAAATGATAGTAGTCAGTGACCAGTACAGAACATCAATGACCAGTGCAGTGTATCAATGGCCAGTGTAGTACATCAATGGCCAGTGCAGTGCATCAGTGGCTAGCACAGAGCATCAGTGGCCAGTGCAGTGCATCAGTGGCCAGTGAAGTACATCAGTAAGCAGTGCAGTGCATTAGTGGCCAGTACAGAGCATCAGTGGCCAGTGCAGTTCATCAGTGGCCAGTGTAGTGCACCAATGGCCAGTGCAGTGCACCAGTGGTCAGTACAGAGCACCAGTGGCTAATATAGTCCATCGGTGGTCAGTACAGAGCATCAGTGGCTAATATAGTCCATCAGTGGCCAGTGCAGTGCATCAGTGGCCAGTGCAGTGCATCAGTGACCAGTACAGAGCATCAGTGGCCAGTGCAGTGCATCAATGGCCTGTGTAGTGCACCAATGGCCAGTGCAGTGCATCAGTGGCCAGTACAGAGCATCAGTGGCTAATATAGTCCATCAGTGGCCAGTGCACTGCATCAGTGGCCAGTGGGGTGTATCAGTGGCCAGTGCATCATCTCCTTAAAACTACTGTTTGTGATTTGTTCTTTCTGAGATCACTGGTTATCACATCACCTCTAATTTGTGTTAAGTTTTCCTCAGAATATAACTTTACATTTTTAAAAAGGAGACTTATTTTCTTTTAAATTAAGTGCACACATGTGTGGGAAGAAAGAGTATGTGCATGTGCGAGTACAAGTGCTCACAGAGGCCAGAAGAGGGAGTGGGGTCCCCTGGAGCTGTAATTACAGGTGGCTGTGAGCCATCCAACATGGGTGCTGCGAACTGAACTTGGGTATATTACCCGTCCCACCATTCCTCTGACCCAGACTTGACTTCTAATCAGTGTGTACCACCTGGTCACAGCTTTGACCTCAAAGGCAAATCCTTGACTTAGATGGAAGCAGGGCAAAATCGTCCTGGGTACACAGAGAGAGGAGTTGGAAAAATCTGACTTCTCACGTGCCTGGTCCTTTGGGCAGACAGCTTAAGACGTCGAGGTGGCTATAAGCTGGGAAGCTAGAGAATTTTGCATCAAATCAGTCATAAAGGTTATGTGGGAGGTTAGAAAACGTTAAAGTTGTTCATAAAGTCTAGGTGCAAGGCAAAAGTCCAGCAGAAATGGTAATGTAACAGAAAGAAAATGAAAACCCAGAGACAATGGAACCGAGGGAGTGGCCAGTCCCCAGACTGACCTCTAGATATGCCCCCATATTCAGTTTTCATGAGCCTTGATTCCCCCTATTCCAGTTCTGACTGACATGGCTTCTCCTGACCTTTGCTCTTTGGGAAACAGGGTGGTGGTGACCGTAGTGTGGATGGCCAGTAGAAATTTGCTGCAGGGCATATAATAAGAGGTGATTTAAATCCCATGTAGATGACACATAGTGCGAATGTATCAACATGTAAAGATGAAGGTATTTGAAGAACAAATGTGACAATGAAAAAGATAATAACCATCATGATACCTTTCACCCTTTTCATGCTGGGAAAACGGGAAACATCAGCAACAACTGCCCATCCTCAAGCCAGACACATCTGGAAATGTATATAGCATGAGGCATATACATTTGCAATTTAAGCTCAGAAGAATCAAAGGCAAAGGATTCAATGGCTAACTCAGATGTGGAAAGCACACATTGTATTCTCATGAAAAATATTCATGCTTAGAATTCCTACTACTAGTTAAATGGCAAATCAAAAGAAAATGGTGTTAGGAGTCCTGGCTATCTTCTCAGATGAGATTCAAAACAAGATTGCATCAGCAAGGAACTAAAACAATGCATTCCATGACATGGAGGAGTCTGAGTAACTCAGGGTAAAATGACATCAGTGACAAAGAGAAACTAGTGCAGCCAGGCATGGTGCTGCAGGCATACAAACCCAGCACTTGGGAGGCTGAGCCAGAGGATCACTTGTGAGTTCAAGGCCAGGCTGAGCTAAATAGTGAAAGAGGAGGATGTGGGGCAGGCTTAGGTGGCTTAACCCAAACTTGGCTAGTTATAAATCTCATCTGAGGCACTTGCTAGAAATACATAAAATCTCTTCCTTGGTGAGTTTGAGCCAATGCTTAACAAATCAATGATGTCAAGAACATACAGTTACTGAAGAAGAAAACTGAATGTAAGTTTTCAGGCGCATCCTATTAGCTGGCATTTCTCCTTTGAACAGGTGGCATGTAGTTTTAGGCAATGGGCCAATATAGGAGCTAGTTCTATGACTGCATAATCCAAAGACTGTTAGAAAATGAGTGACAAGGGATAGACTAGAAGACAATTATATGAGTCAGTCAATAAGTGTTTGGAAAAAGTCCAGTCATAGAAACACTTAGTTCAAGATGTTAAAAAAATAAAAATGAGAAAGAAGGAGGAGAAGGAGGAGGAGGAGGAGGAGGAGGAGGAGGAGGAGGAGAAGGAGGAGAGCTGGTTCACTCAATGGAAACAACCCTGGGGTCTGTTTATAAAGAGATGGTACACATTCGTGACTCTTAGAAATCATGAAGGCAGGCAGACCAGGTATTGTCTGGCAAGTATGTTGACTCATATCTATTGACTGGTTAACATGCAATGGAACTGTCTGCAGAAGAAAAGTCACCTGCTGTAATTGAGTAAACAAAAGACTAGTTTATTATGTAAGATAAGCCAATATGTTCTCATGTACTATAGAGAGTAAACTTACAGTGTACATAATAAACAAATTTAATATGCTGAGAATAAATAGAATAAACATAACAAGGAGTAGTAAAGAGTAACCTGTAGATGCTCACTTGTGTGCAGGATAGTGTAGTTTTACACCAGAAGGGGCCATGTCTATAGCAAACCTTTCTGTGTAAGAAGGTGTGACTTGGTAATAAACATCATGGATATTCAGCCCCAAAAGAATTGTTCAAACGAGCAGTATTTTAGAAGATTAGTCAATTTTTATGAAGCACTTTTGAGATTGAATTTATTGATAATGACTGTGATCTACTGGCTTTTTGAAGATAATACTATTATTTTCTCCTAATGAAGTCTTATATGTGGGACAAGAGCTGGTGGTTTAAGCAAAGTAATCCGGACCATTTTTGTCCATCATTATGAACTTCTTACACTATGGTTCTGCATTTATGAAGACACCTGGATATATCCTGATCCACAAGAATTTTAAGTCTTGAAACACATGCATTCCCCATCAATTATGTGTCTTTGAGATCTTACAATGTGTGAAAACCCTTATATGAAACTCAGCAATGCTTGTATCAGATGGGCAAGAGTTACAGAAACTGTGGTAGCTAGGATAACAGGGAAGCTAATGTTCAGTAAGTTTGACTTTATTAACTAGTATTTAAGTGAAACAGGACACTTATACCCTGCAGATTTCTGGTACACTCTTGTGCACTAAAATTAGAACAGGACAAATGGTCACATGTATTTCATCAATGTCTACAGGTGAAATCTGCCAAGTAGAAATAAAAACTCACTATTTATGTAACCCTCCCACAGAAATGCATTGTAGGGAATATTTGGTACCCTTGAGGAATGTGCACTTGCCAAGATTAACATACAGCTAAGATGTGGCATGAATGTGTGTGTGTGTGTGTGTGTGTGTGTGTGTGTGTGTGTGTGTGTGTGATGGATAAGGCCATTTACCTATATTCTATATATAATGTAGCACTTCAGGGTTCAGAGTCATTACCTCGCTGATAAAGAATTAAACTCCAGAAAGCTTAACTGTCCTATTGCTAGAGGACTGAACCTAACTTGAACTTTCTCTTATTGGACAGAGGAAAATGGAAACAGGTACAATGTTTTCAAATATTCAACCTCATGTCACAATCTTTCTCTCATAAGAGGTTGGCTTTACAGAGGTACTAAAAATGCATAATTCTTGGTGAAAAGAAATTATTAAAAAGGGGAAAAGTAAAAAAAAAAAGCATTAAAAAATATTCTCCTAAGGTAGATCATGAACTTTAGTATTTCGTTAGAAAATGAATTTCTTTTACTCTCTTCCTACATGGGCGTTCCAACAGCAAGGCAAGGTTAGCCCTCCCGGGAAGAGTGTGGTAATGCAGATTTCTCATTTCAACCCCCATGTTTGACAGACCTTGACCAGACTTAACTCAAACTGATTTACTTGCATGTTTTAACATAGCCTGCTATTCTAACCTGGCCTGATCATTAGAAAAATAACCCAATGGTGAACCTACAAGAAGTGTCTCTCAGGAAACTGTTACACCAAAACAGGAAACAGAAACCTCAACTTTCATACAAAAATCTGCTGAAGTTTATGGTGCTGCTCTGTGAAGGCCAAGGTGAAGCTCCCTCGGGTGTGCTGACGGCAGGCATTTCAATCCAGGTAGGACTGCAAGGCATCCCTTCACATGTCTGCACGAACGAATGAGGCGAACACTCCATCTTCCTGGGCCAAGAGGCTTTCTGGGGTGTCGTATTCCAAAATGTTCCCTCGCTTCATCACGATGACCAGGTCTGCAGTCAGAATGGTGTGAACTCGGTGCTGTGTGAATATGAAAACCAGCAACATTAGTTATGAATCTGAACTCGTGAGCCAAAACAAGGAATATGAATATCTCACAAACCGGTCATGCATGGTTGCTTCTTTCCTTTGGGTATGCCAAGAAATACTCTCTTCTTGCATTAATTACTTAATTAGTTAATTAATACACTTCTAAACACCAACCAATGTAGTTAGCTGTGCCTGCTCTGTCTTAATGTTAGTCAGCTGGTGTTGTCACTATTTGACTAAACCTGACAACTATGCACACTAATAAGTGTGTCTCCGTTACATGCTGAAGGGAGCCATTGTCAACCAGTTGGGTTATATTTTATTCCTGTTTACAGTTATCTCATGTGTGAGCCCACTAAATCTCTGGATTAACACACAATGAGAAGGACCCTGAGAGATTCAGGTCTGGGGAATCCCACCTGGGGAAGTCTATTCTGGCATTCAGCATTTGAATGTGTTATTCAGGTGTATTGATGTGTGGTCTCTTATTCGGTGGAGATCACCATCACTCACTGGCTCACTTCCCATGTGGCCCCCTTGGAAGAAGGGCTATGGCATTACTTAATAGTAATAATAAAAACTGCCATTTATCTAGGATATGCCCTATGTTAAGTGTACCACACACTTGGGAATCATCAAAATGTTCTTCAGCAGTGGGTCTCCCCCTGCTCCACTCCATCAGGGATATCATTAGGGTTCAGACAGATCAAGAAAAATAGAGATGATCCAGATAATTAACAGCACAATCATCATCGAATCATCATTGAGACAGGTTTGCTAGCTTCAGAGGGCAAGGTCTTTTCATCCTGCCATCCCTCAGAGGATGTTGGCCAAACACGATGAGTGTTGTAATGATGTGTGAGCAGGCTCTGATGTCAGCCCGACTTACATTCCAGTTCCCATACCTGTCGCCTGCGCAGTCTCCATCAGCACCCTAACCAGGGGTGCTGCAGCTTTGTACCTACACAAGGATGGCAGCGATGGCCCTGCCTTCCAGCATAATGTGAGAGAATTTGTGTGGAAACTGCACACCCTTTCTGGCACATATAAACAAATGATAAATGTCAACTGCTGTTAGGAATTCTCTTGATGGTTTAGAAGGAAAGCTCTTGGTGGCCTTTATTCTTGCTGAGATCAGCCTAAACCATAAAAATCTAAAGCCAGTCTCATGCAGTTTTAAATTTGCTGGGAGACACATTTTAAAAGCAGCAACAAGCAGTTGAAAGCAACTCTAGTACATACATACATACATACATACATACATACATACAATCCTCAGCCTGTTCTCTGTTAGCATTTTGATGTGTAACCAGCATGAAAAATCTTCATGCGTCCTTCTCCCTTTTCTGTCCTTGCTGTTTGAGATGCATCATGTATTTTAGCCATGCAGTGACTCTCAAGAGCTACCAGCCACTCTCAAGGTCTCATAGTCACCTACAGCTATTTTTAGGAATTTTCCAGAAGTTGGGGGGCAATGTACATCTTTGAGAAAAGACCAGAGCCATGTGTACCCCCATGCATCTGGAAGAAATAGACATAGCAAATTGCTTTATAACTATTAATGCATTTTCTCTCCAGAAAAATATTATTTCTTCAATAGCCATATCAGAGGTGCTTAAAAAAGAATTTGGCTTTTATGTCTATGAAGACAGTTTTATAAACATTGCTGTAATAGTTAAAAATAATGTTTACTAAAATAACAAAAACATTGAAAAATCTTAGCCAACAGAAATAAATATACTTTGCGTTTATTCCATTAATTCACATTACTTTTTGTTGTTGTTGGGAAAGTGTGGGGTCAGTTAGTATTGAAGAAAATTTCAAAATGCTCCAGAGAAGTTATCCAATTGAGGGTGAGGAATAAATCATTTCCATAAATAAACACCAGGAACTAATTTGGAATGTGATGGCTCCTTCTAAGAAGCCAGAAAAACATGTATTTTTTTAAAGCTATTTTATGTTTCAGTGGCAGTTGACCAAGGTAATGGGGAGCTTTTAGGCTGAGAAAGAAAATAAATCTTAGCAGAGCTGTGGATCTCTCTGGAAGGAGCCTATGACAAGTGAGGTGCTGGTCTATCGTCAATGAGCCACTTGTGTAGCCTGGGCTTCTCCCGAGTCTCCTAGTGATGCCTCATCCCTGTGACCTTTAGGTGGGGGATGCTGGGAGTTTAATGACCTCCACACTGGGTGTGCATAGTGAAAAGTATTCCACAAATACAGTTAGAAATCAGGTAAAAGAATGTAACTTTGCATTAAAGATACAAATTGTGATCAAGTAATCTTCAAGATAAAGACTTCATGGGACTGCCCACCACCACCATGTTTCATGCAGAGCAGAGATTTGGTCTCCTGGGTTACCAAGGGTCTGACATTCCTTTCTCCTCCCACTCACAAAGGAGCAACAGGGAATTCTCCCTACATGTCTCTAGTGAGACAACTCTTGAACCATATTCAAGAAGTGGTATTTCACGTCAGCTGGTTCTCTAGTCTCTTAGATCATTTACCGTGGTGAGAATGAACTTGTGAGGCTGCCCCCCTATCAAGAAGGAGGAACCGAAGAGCTTATCAGGAAAATTAGAGAAAGTGGGGCTTCCTCTACCTGGGCCCTATGGGAAGTCATTTCCTGCAGCTTGAGGAAGACACACTTCAGAGAGTGGCTTTCCCCCACAAGTAGTAGGGGTTCTTCAACAGCTCAGGTTCTCAGCAATTACACCAAGCAATCACATAAATGAAAACCTTCTTTGGGCCGGTAACACACATGGCATTTTTAAAAGTGACTAGAAAAGAGCCTCAAATCAACTGATCCTTAGGACAGAGGAAAGCTTGCTTCCTATTTCTTAAATGCTGTCTTTGAGAACATAAGCATGCTCCTCAGTCAGTAGCACACACGGTATAAGCACTTGGTCGAGCTGACTTGCATGGTCATCCCCATGGTTAGTTCTTCCCCCAGCAATCCTTTCAATCACAGCCTCAGCTCTGCCTTGCTCAGGCAAGTCAGCTAAGACATCTACCAGAGAATGAGACACTTGGAGGAGGAGCAGATCACGCTGGGCTACTTGTTGGTCATCACCAAAGTAGAAAAGAGGCCATTCTTGTGTTCCAGCAAGTTTGGACCAGTGTCACACTCCACTAAAATACCCTCAGAAAAGACTAAAACAAGGCCTGCATCCACAATAGAAGAGACTCGGTGCTGGAGGAGAGAGAAGTGGAGAGAGAAAAGAATCAGTGAGAAGGAAAATGGACGAGGTCTCATCAAGTCTTCAGTGGGCTGCAATGAGAGCAAAGATCAGACCAAACACAACGAGGAAGAGACAGAAAAACTAACACCCTTGCAAGCAAGCAAATGGTGGCTAAGTGAATCAGCAACCCAATCAAGGCTACCTAAAATGCAGGGACATTACCTGCCCGTGCCATGGGCATCTCATTGTCTTCTATTTTAAAACAGGTGAATGAGGAGAAATTATATACAAATATTAGCTAAATTGGTCATGGAATTTAGGAACTTTCTGAAAACTACCATGCTGCTAGAAATTAGCACTGACACTGGTCAGCTGGTGTCCTTACACTTCAGATGGTGTCATTGAAAATAAATGATATATGTGACATGAAACAGGAGAGAAATACACAATTCAACATCAGTATATTTCACATTCTCAAACTTAAAACTCAAAGAGCCTTATAACCAAAGCTACAGAGGAAGGAAGCGATCCCACACATGTTACTTACAGCTATGGTCACGACTGTGCGGTCCGCAAAGGCTGTCATTACTACTTTCTGCAAAATGTTTTCCTGCCAAAGGAAAAGAGATGTTTTAACTTTCAGGAGCCTACTTTCTCTTGACAAAATATTTTATACCCCAAGATCAATACTCCACTGCCCTGTTCCTTCTGAGCATACTGACTCCAAGTCTTCCGTGGTGTTGATAAGGAAATATAGTTAATAGCAGACTGGGTTTTGGAAATGTCTTCAAAATACAAGAAAAGTCAGTTATCATAAGTGGAAAGGGGACCACGAGAAAGGAGGAAGAGATCTTTCTTTAAAAATTAATTTATTTTACCCTTGTGTGTATGCCTTGTGTGTATTTATGTCGAGAGTATGCAGGCGCCCACAGAAGCCAGAAGAGGGCACCAAACTCCCTGAAACAGGAGCTACAGGTGGTTGTGAGCTGGCTGATCTGGATGCTGGGAACCTAACTCAGGTCCTCCGTTAGAGCAGAGTGTGCTCATCACTGCTGAGAAGTTCTGCAGCCCCTGAGGAAGATCTTAAGAGATGGGGGTGGGGAGCAATGCGATGCATGTGACTTGAAAGCAGAAGGGAAGACTATTTCTTAGGAGGAGGAAGTATGGGGGTGGTAACGGCAGTGGGGGAGGCATGAGAATAAGAAGAAAGTACAGTGGTGGCATTTATGTGTGAAAGTGTCATGATGAAACCCATTGCTTTGTATGCTAACTGAAAAGGAAAGCTCAGTGGTTGATCTGACTGACAGATCTATTGCCAGGAACTCAAAGAAGAAAATGAAGCTCAGGAGCATGGATGCACTTGCTTATTAGACCACAGGCAGTATATGACTGAAGCTAATCAAACCCTATCCTGGTGCTAACCTTTGGCTTAGCAAGCAAAGAGAAACTGAAGTCCATGTCAAAACTTGGATTTTTGACCCATAAAGAATGTTTAAGACAAAAATACTTTCCTTCACACCACAAACTATGATTATCATTATATTTGAACGTGTTGTGGGTGAAGAGTCCATCTCACTCCTCGAGGAAAATCCCGTTACCCATGTATGCCATTCAGGTTGCTTGCTGCTGTTTGAGTCATGCATTCTCACTCCCTCTCCTTCTCTCCACTATGCTGAAGCAGATGTCCTCAGACATGGCTGATAAATGCCGATTTGCGTTACTTCCGACCATAGGCCATTTTGTTATTTTTATACTATGGTAATTGTGATGTCACATAACTTGGTAATGTACTTTGATTAGTCTTAATAGACAAAAAAGAAAAAAAAAGTTGTGAAGTTAGGCATAGCTGTTTGTGCTTGTAACCCTAGCTAGCTCTAAGGAGGCAGAGGCAGGAGGATTGCAAACTTGAGGCCAGCCTGGGTATGATAGTGAGTTTCAGGACAGCCATGATTACATGGTGAGACTCTGTCTTAGAAAGCTGGAGTAGGGGGCAGGAAGGAGCCAAATTATCACCTTCATATATGGTTGGTTCTTAGCAATCTTGAAGTGGCTTTATTTGGGGGTAATTTCACCCAGTCTGAAGGGAGCAGCAGGAAGGCAGCATGGAGTTAGGAGTATAAAGACTCTGGCCTTTCCCATGAGTACACAGGGAAGGCCATTCTTAACTCAAGTCATTATTAATTTTAACAAATACAAATTGTTGTAGCCAACAGATGGCTTTAGCTATCATGGTCTACTGAAAAGGGATCTACATTCCACAATTCAGAGTTCTCATGACCTGTGGCCTTATTCCTGCACACTGCTCTCATCCACTGAGCCCTGAACACACCTGGAAATGTATCAGAAAATAAGGATCCTGTGCTGATGAGCAACACTCACTCCTCCAGACTAAGATCTCTGCTAAACAGCCTTTATTTCTACTTCCCTTCCTTCCCTCTCTTCCCCACTATGAGTTCTGTACCAACATGGGTGCTGTTTCCATGACATTGATTTCTTTCAGAATCTTGTAAGTGAGGCCATGCAAGATTTGTTTTCCTGTGAGTGGCTTGATTCATTTAGCACAGTGCCCTACAGTTCCAACCATGCTGTCACAAGTGCTGTGTGTACCCCTTCGCAAAGGCTGTGTGGCATTCCCTGATCTCTATACACCACATTCTCTTTATCTGACTGTCAACACACTTAGGTGTATGAATTAATATGTCAGTAATGCTGAGGGGAGCAAGGCCATGTGGATGCCTGTCCTTTATAATCTGATTCCTTTTGATATACACCCGGCAGTGGGTTTGCTGGTTCACACGGTAGATTTGTTTTTAGTTTTTTGAGGAATTTCCATGTTTTCCAAAACAGCTGCGCTGATGTTCATTTGCACCAACAGTGTGCCAGGGGTCCCTCTTCTCTCTGTCCTCCATGGTGCTCACTGTTTCTCCATCTACTGCTCAGCATAGCAAGCCCAGTCAATTACACAGTCACATATTGCAAATGTGTTGATTTTCAACATTTCCACTACAACGAAATGTGGTCAATTGCTTGGGTTAGAGATACATTTGTTTGCTTGATTGACTCTTTCTATGCTGTATAACTGGATGGTGACTTCATATTGCTCTCCTCCCCGTGTGTGTGTGTGTGTGTGTGTGTGTGTGTGTGTGTGTGTGTGTGTGTATGTGTGTGTGTGTTGTATACAAATAGGGATCTGATGCTTATTTCTCATTTCTTCTCAACAGTGTTAGCAGTCTGAATTCATATCAAATGAAAGGTTTAAGGAGAGATTAAGAGACCAAGTGGCTTGTCCAGGGTCACATTTAGCCAGTGTGCAGTAGGGTTTAAGAAGAAATAGAATATCCCAACCCGAATTCTGCTTCTCTTTCTGTTTTACCATCGGGTTAATCTGTGATCTCCCAGTGGATGAGGGCTGAGTTTGTTTTTTATGAGTCTCTACTACTAGTGTAGATTTTTAAAAGTGAGTCTTGGTAAGAGAAACCCCTTTTGGTTGATCAAGGAGTCGGTTGGGGTGTCGTCTGCAACAATAACATTGAGGACTCCGAACCCAGTCAGAAGACCACACCCAGTCAAACACCTCCCCAACACGTTGGTTTTCAAAGCCGAGGTGCAAACTCACCGTGGCCATGTCGATGGAGGCTGTGGCCTCGTCCATGATGAGTATGCTGCTCTTTCTCACGAAGGCCCTGGCCAAGCAGAACAGTTGCCTCTGCCCGACGCTGAAGTTCTCCCCACCTTCAGTGACGGTGGCATCTGAGGCAGGGTAAGCAAGAGGCTCACTAACAATAGTAAGTAACTTTGGTGGGGGAGGGGAGTCAGGAAAAACATGACATGTGCATGACTGGCCTGGTATGATGTTGAAGAGATGGCCTCCTGAGAGGTAGTGAAGAGGATGCTGGCTCATCTTATTTTTGACAACATATGGAGAACTGGGTCCCAACAGCTAAGTCAAGAAATACTGCTAGACATTTGCAAGACCAGAAGACCTTGGGAATTGTTGAATTATTTAATCCAGTTCTCCCAGTTCTTCCAGGAGACTGTGTAATTTACCTACCTGTGGCCTAGGGAGATCAAGTGGTTTATTTAAGGTCATGTTTATCTGATGTGTAGTAGGCCTTGAGAAGAAATAGAATATTCCAACCCCAATTCCATTTCTCTTTCTGTTATATCAACCCACTAATCTGTACTGTCCCAGTGGATGAGGGTTGAGCTTGTTTTTATCAATGTATCTCCACTACTGCTGTAACTTTATTAAAACAAACAAACACAGATGAGGTCTGAAACATGGCTCAGCAGTAAAGGGCACTGGCTGCTCTTGCAGAGAACCTGTGTTTCATTTACAGCACCCACATGATGGCTCACAACCTCCTGTATCTCCAATCTCATGTCCTCTTCTGGTCTGCATGCACATGATACACATACAGGCAAACAGGTACACGTACATACACATAAATAAAAGTAAATAATATTTAAATAAAAAATGGCACTAGAATTATGCAGTCCTTCAGAGCATGGAGCTAGAGGCATGTGGAGTCACTTGTAGCTGTACCTAAACCTCCTGGCAGAGATTTCACCATATTCTTCAGCTGGGCAATTTCTAGAGCCTCCCAGAGCCTGTCATCCGTGCACTTGCACTCAGGGTCCAAGTTAAACCTGTAAGGAAACAACTCTGCTTATCAGTTAATAATAAACATGAGATGATATATTCAACACCAGAACAGGGCTCAGTTCAGAGCAAGCACAAAATCCATACTTTAGTGATGACTGTATGAATGACCTTCAATGTTAACACAAACATTTTTTACATTACCAGGTGAATTTGCATACATGATACAATATGACCAATATTATTACCCGGATCTATATTATACTTAGTATAACCAGAATATTGTCTAGTCAATATCCCATAGAACTGATGCTAAACACACAAGTCTGTGTGGGAATATATAATACACAACAGAAATATTCAGAGTATATCAGAGGTACACGTTGATACAATACTGCTAAGTAACTTGATGCATCTAGAACTTTTTTAAAGAATGTTTTTAATTTTTAAAATGAAAATATAATTACAGAATTTCTCCCCTTCCCTTCCCTTCTGCCAACATTCACATACAGCCCTGCTTCTGTCTCTCAAATTCATGGCCTATGTTTCTTTAATTGTATGTATGTATGTATGCATGAGAGAAATAGATAAATACAACCTGCTCAGTCCCTACAATGTTATCTGCATGTGTATGTTTTCAGGGATGAGCACTTCATACTGGATAACTAATTGATGTGCTCTTCCCACTCTCCGAATTCCTTAGTTACCTATAGTTCTTTGTCTAAGGCTGGACCACTAGAACTTTAAAAATTAAAGAAATCTTACATAACATTCCACACATTTTTTCTCTAATATAAATAATAATTATTAAATGGAGATAGCAAACACTTCTTTCTAATTAGGAGACAGGAGAGGGAATCAAGAGAGAGAAAAACAAAAGCAAAATAAAACAAAACAAAAAATAAAGCCACACATATACACACTCATACCTTCCCCGCCCACCCTAATGATCTAGTAGCTGTCTGGGTAGACCTTGGACTCAGACAGTCTGCTACTGGATGACAATTCTACCACTTACTTGGACTATGAACTTGAGAAAGACACAACAGCTTTGAGTTTCAAAATAATCATTTGTAACATAGGGATAATAATATGACCTCAAAGCATTTTCTGAGGATTTAATCAGACAGTATATTAAAAGCAACTACTAGGAGAGTGAATATCTCCAGTTGTTTTATACTTTTTACTGATTTATGGGAAACAACAAACCAGGGCAGAGAACTCTGGAGTTGCTTTGTCCAAGTGATTTGAGAGGAGAATAAAAGTTGTGAGAGGCAGGGAGGCAGATAGAGACAGTCTACGTTATCTGCTGAACCCAGGACAGACACACAGGAATCAGGCAGATATCTGAAATGTTGCCAGTCACTGCAGACTTTATAGACTCAAACAGGAGAGAGCTCAAAGCACATGTCTAGGCTAGCACACCCAGGAGCTCCTACTCCAGCTGTGGGGCAGCTGTGCTCGACTTGATCATCTTGATGAAGTCCTCAGACTAGTGCACTCACCGGATAGAGCCGCTGAACAGGATCGGGTCCTGGAGAATGATGGACAGTCTAGAGCGCAGTGTGTGCAGAGGCAGTTTGGAAATGTCTATCCCATCAATGACTATCTTTCCTGTTACAGAAAAACAAATGCTGCAGACATATAGCAAACTCATGAGAGAGATTTTCATTCATTTAATAATTAAAATTGTTCTCCCCTACTCTCTCCTACCATTGCCTGGCCATGAGGGCCTGGGCTCAGTGCCCAGTCCCTCCAATGAATGAATGAATAAAATATTTTTTCCAAGTTTTAGGTTGAAACACAGAATATAAAGCTTCCCGTTTAAGTATCAAAAACATCTGTCTCTAACAAAAATGTACACTTCTGGGGAGATTTGTCTTTCTGATATATTTTCCCCTGAAGGAATGTTCTGTTATTGTTCATATTTGGCCAGGCAAACCCAAATCACTTTTCCCCTTTGGGTCTCCTTTCTTCTAGAAGGCCTTTACCTTCCCTTCCTGTTTAATTTTGCTTTGTACGATTTGTTGGAATCAGACATCCTGTATGTGTTTACTTATTTTTCATTGTCTAGCTCCACACATTCAAGTTTCCTGAAGACAAAGCTTTTGGCCTGTCACCCACTGCTGGGACAAATAGCACAACATATTGTGAATAGGAAAGCAAGTTCTGACATGAGAGCAGATGTCACCAAGGTAGCCCGTACTGTCTGTAGACTTACAGGACTGCACATTCTTCATGTCCCCTTTACCTAAGAGATTCATTTCCTCATCTTGTCATGCAAAGACAATGTTCCTTGAGAGATAAATAAGATGGACTCAGAATGTCAGCTACAGCTCAGTTAGTAGTAAGCAAGGCTTCCTCAAGCAGAAGCAAGGAGGAGGAGCTTAAGTGGGTTCTTTCAGGGACGATGCTACTGAAAAGGCATCAAGTTGGTTCCGTTTCTGAGGGGTGCCTAAAAACCACCTTTGTAGATGCCTGAAGATCAGGCTAATCAAAAGCTCAGCCATAGTCACAGTTTGTAATGAAAACTGTCAGTTGACTTTGGACCATGTAATTGCCCCGAGACACAACTCTGCAGAAGGCATTGCCCATCATGGAATTAACAAGCCACTGACCCACCTAGTGGTGGATGCTTACTATGCCACTGAATTTACTCTCCCTCATTCTGATTTCTATGGTTTGTACACACACACACACACACACACACACACACACACACACACACACACATTTTAAGACAGCTTCTTTCTATTATGTAGCTCTGGCTGTCCCAGAACTCACTGTGTAGACCAGGCTGGCCTTGAACTCACAGAGATTAACCTGTCTCTGCCTCCTGAAGGCTGCGATTAAAGGCGTGCACCACCATGCCCAGCTACAGTTCAGTTTCATTGCTCACAAACTAATCTTTTATCTCACAGAGTTGTTTTGTAGATTAAATAAAATAATATAAGCTGTCAAGTGCAATAAAAATACAAAGTACTATAATTATCACTGTAGTCAATAGAGACAGTAGTAGGCATCATTTCCTGGGCTAAAGGTCAGGGTCATTGCTGGAGCTCCTTTCATTTAGGATGGCTTATGTGTTGGCCTGTTTATAGCCACTCAATAAACTAAAAAAAAAAAAACATGACATATTATTTTTCTAAAACAAAGATTAAATGATTTATGCTGTTATAGTACATGAACAAATATTTCTGGATATTGTGGACATGAATTTAACATTTTACAGCAAGGTTTGTCTACACACAAAATGTTCAGCATCACTAAACTGTGTTATTAAGAACACAACTATAAAGGTCACACAACTAAATTATGAGTGCAGATTACTTATTTCTGTGTCATTTTTTTTCCTTCAGTAGAGAAAGACATTTTTTAATCTGGGGAGAGCAAAGCAACCTCCCGTTTCTTTCCTCTCAAAACCTCACCTCCATCTGTTGATGCTCCTGTGGTGGCTGCGTGCATCCTGTAAGTTTATTACAACCTGCTGGCAGCTGTCACTAGGCCTTCATTTGGGACTATCATTTTATTCTCCCAATTCTATGTTCTCCTGTTATCTTCGGGGTACCTGCCTCGACCTATGTGCATGCAGGATACAAAGTTCTGATAAATATTTGCTGTTTATTTTCACAGAATTAGGTAAATTGATTGGGCTCCATTATTTTTTAAATATTTTATTTCTTTCTTTTGTGTGTGTGTGTGTGTGTGTGTGTGTGTGTGTGTGTGTGTGTGTGTGCAAGCCCAGGTGCACACATCATAGTGCAAGTGAAAGTTAGAGGACAACCTGTGGGAGTCAGTTGTCTCTTTCCACTCTGAGTACTGAACCCAGGTTGTCAGTCTTGGTGGCAAGCACCTTTATACACTGAGCCACAAAAGGCCACCTGGCTGGTATAAAACTTAGTTAACAACTCACCATCAAATATGTCGACCATTCTGAAGAACGCCAGAGATAAGGATGACTTCCCACTGCCAGTTCGACCACAGATGCCCACCTGAGAAGAGCAGGAGCAATGGAGATCAGACAAAGGCATGAAAGGCATCGAGGTATTTTTAGCTTCATCAAGGTACCATGGAAAAAGTAAAAATTTGCTCAAATAATTGCATCACAATTTTGTGCTTAGATCTCATGAATTATGATAAAATGAAGTCCTCACTAAACTAATGATTGCATCCTGATTTTTATTTCCATGTGGCTGTGCTGTTTCCTGTTCCTGGCTTCATTTCTGTATCAGTTTATAGTTGGACCTTTACGTAAGTGCTCTGTGGTGGTATTGTGTTCCCCGAAGTATTGTGCATGCTAATAAACATATCTGGGGTCAGAGACAGAGCAGCCACAATATTAAACATAGAGGATAGGCAGTGGTAGCACACACTTTTAATCCTAGCATTCCAGAGGCAGAAATCCATCTGTTCAAGGATACAGCCAAGCATGATGACTCACACCTTTAATCCCAGGGAGTAGTGGTAGAAGGCAGAAAGATATACAAGGCATGAGGACCAGAAACTAGAAGCATTTGGCCTGGTTAAGCATTTAGCTGGTTAAGCTTTCAGGCTTTCTAGCAGCACAGTTCAGCTGAGAGCCTTTTGGATATGAGGACACAGAGGCCTCCAGTCTGAGGAAGCAAGACCAGCTGAGAAGTTGGCCAGGTGAGGTTAGCTGTGGCTTGTTCTGTCTCTCTGACCATCCAGCATTTCACCCCAATAACTGGCCCCAGGTTTGATTTTATTAATAAAAACTTTTAAGATTGCTGCTACAGTGCTCAGTTTTTGCTGAGCAGAGATGGGTTAATAAGAATGAGTCCACTGTCCCCACACATAATCTTTTAAAAATAGGAATTAAAAGAAGTCGATTCAGAGCAGATCTAGAATGGAGGCAAAGGTCATGGAGGAGATGTCTAGTACAGATAGCTCTGAGCCAGAAATCAGAAATTTTGAACAGTGTGCCTGGTGTTGACCATTCTGATTTTGACAGGATGCTAATGAAGGGCAGAATAACTAAGGGAGCATTTGGTGTCCTGCTTCGATCCCCTCTCTCTCCTCCTTTTTCATGCAGATAATTTTGTCCACAGCATATGTGGAATGTGAGTCTGGATCTGGACACCTGTGGTGGGTGTTGACATGGTGATCAGGTGCTCACGTGGTGATGGGGGGGGTGCTCACGTGGTGATGGGGGCTCCACCAGAGATTTATGCAGACAAACAATCAGACAGTGGTGAATCCCATACCTTCTGCCCAGGTTTGATGTAAGCCTTGACGTGTTTCAGAACGGGCTTCAGATTATTTTCATATCTGACACAGAGATCATGAATCTTGATCTCGCCTTCCTGTGGCCAATGTTCTGGGACTTGAGAGGGATCTGGGGGTAGTAGAATAGACAACGGTAGTTAAGACATAGATGAAGAGAGAAACACAAATTTAAATGTGTATAATTTCCAGGAATTGCTTTAACAATGCTTGTGTGTGTGTGTGTGTGTGTGTGTGTGTGTGTGTGTGTGTGTGTGTGTAATTTCCCTAAATTCATTGTAATACTGAAACAAACTATGATAGCTTATTTTTTAAATTTAAATCGCCTTCAGAGTGAACAGTTGATCGAGAATTTTAAGTTTTTTGAATTATTTTCTTTCTTTTAAGTTTAGGTTTTGAAACTTTCGCATAGATACACAGTGCGTTGTGACCATTCCTTGCCCTAACTTCCTTTTCTAGATGGCCTTCCACTTCTGCTGACCCCCTGCACTTTTCTAACTAGTGCCCTCCTACTTTCCTGCTTTCTTGTGTGGTACAATTTTAACTTCTGTGGGGGGGGGGCATTAACATCATCCCATCTCTTTGGCATCCCAGCATTCAATATTATTCAAGCTAAGTAAAGATAATTCAATTGTGAATTGATGGACATGTGAGTGGATCCTCAAACACCTGAAGCTTCTAATGTAAGAGTATCCGTTATTTGAAGATAAAAGGCAAGGCTTGCTGTGTCCCTAGCAGGTAGGTAAGAAGTCAGTATCTGTAGTTCTAAGTGGACAGCCATACTGGGAGGTAAACATAGCACTCCTGGAGCACAGAGGGTGGAGAGCGTCATCCAGGGGGACTTGAATTAAAAGCAGTTCTTGAGATGAATCTTAGGGAATTGAATTCAAATATGTGTAAGAGAAGAACAAAGGCAAAAGAGAACTGTATCATGCTACTGTGTCTAGGAAGTATGTAAGTGGGTGAGAAAGGGGACTGGGGGTGGCAGGCGTCACTTAGTGGCCTCGGCTATAACTAGGACTGTGTACTTTACCAGCTAGAAAGCCACTGAATGACTTAGGCAAAACAATGCATTTTGATTGAGATTTCCATGTAAGGAAGGCCATGCTGTGTTTATCCTCAACTTTCCTGGCAGTTATTCTAATAGAATTAAGAATCATTTTTAGTACTTTCAAGTTTCTTGATGTTTAAGTTAACAAAGCTATAAGAAAGAGAACACACTATAATAAGGTGCCAATATATTTGCATTTCTTTCTAAATAGTATTGAATATTGTCTACTTAGAGTCTACTTGTATCCAAGACTAAATTTTTGCTTATTCTCAGCTGCTAATATCAAGCAATATCAATACGAGAGGGGGTGTAGTGTGTGCATACATATTGCCAGCACTCAGAAGACCGAGACAGGAGAATCTTGAATTTAAGGTCAGCCTAGGTTACATAGACTTAACATGTCTCACAACCCTAAACTCCAAAGATAGAAAAATAAATGAATAAATAAATAAAAGCAGGAAGGAAAGGAAGGGAGGAGTGTAAATGAAGACAAGAAGGGATTCTCTTGGTATTAAAGTGACAGAGCGCAGCAAGCGCAAGGTTCCCAGAAGAGTCACGTTCACAGTACCCATGGTGCCTTCATAGTTCTCAGACTCCATTGTCAAGAAACTGTTCACTTTCTTCACTGCACCCATCTGGACCTCCAAGTCAGCCAAGTTCCTCACGACCCAATTCAAATAATTCGTTATCTGTAGCAGGTGACAAAAATGGTCACATTTAAAATAAGCAATTCTCATGGTCACTGAACATCTGGGGACAGAATGACCTATACAGTATCCACCACATGGTCCAGTTCATAAGTACTGCAAGTTAGCAGACAGCAGGGAGAGCATCATGAGACATCGGTAGAGAAGGTGTGTGTTCTTCAAAGGTCTCTCATGTTTCTACTTCATGAACTGCTCTCCAATTCCCCTACACAGTGGAGAATGGATTCCACTCATGTACATGCTAATCTCATTTATATTCATGCGTATTTTAGTGCCCCAAATGGGATGTAAACAGCACAAGACAGGGATTTCAAACAACCTCAGGAACAGGATGCCTGTGGGATTTGAGAATTTTTTTAGAAATTAGTGTCAATGCCAGAAAAGAATCTAAGGGACCTGGAGATGCTTCAGCCTGCAAAGAGTTTGCAATACAAGCATGAAGGCATGGGTTTGGATCCCCAGAACCCATTTAAAAAGCTGGATATAGTTGTGTAAGTCTTTAACTTCAGCACTGGAGAGGAAGAGGCAGGAGAATTCCTGGGGCTTGTTAGTCATCTGGTCTAGCCAAATAAGCAAGCTCCAGGTTCGGTGAGAGACATTTTCTCAAAAAGTAGTGATAGAGAAAGACAGTTGACATCAACCTTTGATCTCTATAGGCACAAGTGAGCGGACTTATACATAACCTGCTCACACATATGACCACATACACACACCTCCAAAGAGAAAAGACACAGGAGAGAGGGCTCAACAGTTAAGGGTATAGAATGCTCTTGCTGAGGGGGAGTTTGATCGATAGCACTCGTGTTGGCTGGTTCTCAACTGCCTGTAGCTCCGGCTCTAGAGGATCTGACATTCTGGCCTCCGTGAGCACCTGCATCAGTGTATGCACACATGCACAGGTACACATGCACACAATACACATAATTAAAATTTAAATAAAATCTTTAAAGTAAAAAGGAGAGAAACTAATCTAAGCTGTCCTAAAATGTTAGCTTTAGGCTCAAATCTATGTTGTGTAAATAACATGTTATAAATCTCAAATTTCGATATTGTCCATGAAAGAGATGTGATAATTATTGTAGAAAGTTCTTCCAGCATTGCATGGAAAGAAAGATATTTTCATCAATACCTACCGTGAGGGCATACAGAAGACCCAAACCCACTAGTCCAGAACTGGAAGATCCACGAATGGATGCAATGGATGCTGTGAGGACAATGCAAGCTCCGAGGTAGTCCTGGAAAGCGGGGAGATAAGGGGCAAGATGTGAAGATTCCACGATTGTTAAACCAAGGATGTCAACTAACTTAGAGAGAGTGATCAGTCAGTGAAAAGCACACCATTGCATGAGTGTCCAGTCAAGTTCCAGATGAATGATTTGTCAGAGGTGGAGTAAGGAAGACTTGGCACATGGAGGTTGGAATCAAGAGTGGCACTGAATCTCTCAGGGGAGTAGTGGGTTACCTGCAGAGAAGCTACAGTTGCTGTCACAACCAAGATCAGGTCTAGTCCCCGTCTTTCCATGTACATGCTTTTTGACAGACAAACAGCTATTTCTAGCTTAGACTTCACATAGGCTTGTGTAAAGGTTACCATAGACCCTGTGTGTCAGAACAAAGCCCTTGCAGAAATGAGCCTCAGGTGCCTGTTGGGCTCTGGAGATGAACATTTTCCAACTGTATTCATGTCTGGGACATGATATATGCAGATCATGTAGATGATGAAAAGGGTTGAGTTTGCTCATAAGTTACAAGTATGTGCATGTCGTCAAGCTCCAGACTTTTCTATGACTCAATGATAAGCCCTTTTGCAAAACTTACAAAAAATAAATTCACAAAAGCCAGCCTCGGATTCAACTAAATCACATCTGCCCATCTCCTCACACCCTTCTAATCCCATTTCCCAACGGTGTGGGAGACTTTTCTGCCCTGTTGAGTCCATGCGTCACTTGTTCTAGAGACAGGGAGACTTTCAGATGCTGTTCTTTTCCTGATCATAAGTCACAGCCAACTGGAAAATTCCTTCTGTGGCTAGAGAGAGCTCCAGTCCCTCTAAAAAAACATCTACCCACTGAGTAAGACTTCAATAATAACAATAAAACATTTAATGTGCTAAAGTCAAAGAGGGAAGTGTCTCCAGTAGCTCCCTGTGCACATTGGTATGTGTATCAAACAGTTATAAACATCCTGCTGCTGCAGAGCTGACCACAAGTCCAGACCTGACATCAGAGGCTTCAAATGTCGGCTTTGCCAGTTAGTAGTTATTGAGCTTAGATAACTAATTTAGATGCCTTTGACCCTAAATATCTCTGTGAAAACTAGAAATTATGCCTAATACACAAAAACATTAAAGGGAACCAAGTCATAGTTTCTCTACCCCTGGAAATCAAGATTGTTTTTAGTTCTGAATAATTTCCAAATGTTTGAAGCAAGCTTTAAAAACCTGTGTGCATCATAGAACACCGGAGATCAAAACATGAACTAAGATATAATCCCACATCAAGTCCCATAATAGTTATAAAGGAATTTTTAAAAGAATAACATAGAGCAAACCTCTCAAGACAATAAACATCACTAAGTAGCAAACCCCTCTTTGATTGCTGCTTCTGATATAGCCATTGCTAACAGCTTACCACATCCCAATCAGTCTCTCCTCCACAGCCATTGCTAACAGCTTACACATCCCAGTCAGTCAGTCATCCCCTCCTCCACAGCCATTGCCAACAGCTTACCACACCCCAGTCAGTCAGCCCCTCCTCCACAGCCATTGCTAACAGCTGACCACATCCCAGTCAGTCAGCCCCCTCCTCCACAGCCATTGCTAACAGCTGACCACATCCCAGTC